CCTGAGTTCAGGTCACAGGACACACACACACTCACACACACACACACACACCACACACACACAGCAAAACAAAAAGGGTTAGGGGCAAGACTTAAGTGGTAGAACACCTGTCTAAAAAGCACATGAACCTAGCCAGGCACCGGTGGCTCACGCCTGTCATCCTAGCTACTCAGGAGGCTGAGATCTGAGGATCGCAGTTCAAAGCCAGCCCGAGCAGGAAAGTCCGTGAGACTCCTATCTCCACTAAACCACTAGAAAACCAGAAGTGGTACTGTGGCTCAAGTGGTAGAGCGCTTGCCTTGAGCTGAAGAGCTGAGGGACAGTGCCCAGGCCCAGAGTTCAAGCCCCACGACCGACAAAAAAAAAAAAAAAAGCGCATGAACCTGAATTCTAACCCCAGTATTGAAGACAAAAGAAAAAGGATGCCCTCTTACGTTAGGTCTGTGGTCAGGAATTTCAAGCCCGAGCCCCGTCTCCGTACCGCCTCCCCCAACGCCTCCCCCCCGGAACCGCGGCCCTGACACCCACCTGCTCTGGCGCCCGCGCTCTGCCAGGCTGGAGGAGGCCTTCGGGTGTTCTGGCCTGCTTCCTGGTGCCAGCTGCCTTTGGGGGTCTCTCTGAGCCGCCGATTCCAGTTCTTCCTGCCCCGGGCCCCGAGGGGTGCCATGGGGCCAGAACCTCCCCAGCCCGGGGACAACAGGCATCTTCAGTAGCCCAGGAGCCACAGTCCCCGGGAGCCCCTTGGGGGGCCCAGAGAGCTTGGCCGGGGCAGCCCTGCCTGCCGGCAGCCCAACGCTGTGCTCCAGCAGCAGTGGGTAGAAGAGGCGAGGGGTGAGGGCTGGGCGCTCGGGGGTCTGCGGGGCCGCGAAGGCCGCTGTCGGGGGCAGCAGGGGGCTGGCCGAGGCCAGGAGCGGCACATGGGCAGCCGCGGCCAGGGAGGGCCCCAGGTAGGAGAAGAGGCCGGGGCTGAGGGGGTAGTTGACGCCCAGCAGTGACAAGTGGAGGCCCTGGGCCTCAGCAAACTCTCCAGGGCCGGGGGGTGGGTAGCAGGGGACACTGCCCCCAGGCCCCCCAGGGGCCCCGGCCGCCGCCGTGCTCCCCAGGCCGCTGCCCGGCCCTGGCTTCCATGACTCTGCCAGGAGCTCACCACCAGGGCCAGGACCCTTCAGGACATGCCGAGCCAGGGCGGGCAGGGCCCCTGGGGGCCCCTCTGCCCCAGCCTTGGGTGCATGGGGGAGCCCGTCAGTAGCCACGAGGCTGGACACGGTGGGCTGGCTGTCTGGATCCAGGGGAGCCCGGGGGCCCGCGGGGCTGGGCGAGGGGGACGCCCGGCGGCACGCCCAGTCTGGCGAGTCTAGCAGCAGGGAGAGCGAGTCCTTGCAGAGACTGTACTTCATGTGGTTGTAGAGGTGCGACTTCTCCAGGCACGTGAAGGGGCACTGGAAGCACTTGTAGTTGTAGGGCTTGCCCCACGGCCGCGGGATGTAGTGCGGCTTCTTGGGCTTTCGGGAGCGCACCCTGGCCCCAGCCCCCAGACGGCAGGAGCCGGCCTCCCGAGACATGGCAGCCGCTAGTGGGCAGGCGCGGGCACCAGCATGACCACCTGTGGAAGGGTCTGCGGTCAGGCCAGCTGAGGCCTTCCTGCTCCCTATGCCAGGCCCGCCAGAAATAAGAACCCAGGCCACTCCTGCGTCTGCGTCCCCCCCAGCCCCCAGCCCCCCCCCACCTTCTCCTTTGGCCTTTGCACCGCAGATCCCTCATTCTTTCTTTCTTTTTTCTTTTTCCCTGTCCTGGGGCTTGAACTCGAGGCCTGGGCGCCTTTTGCTCAAAGGTAGCACAATACCACTTGAGCCACAACACCACTTCTGTGTCTGTAGTACTGAGGAATCAAACTCAGGGCTTCATGCATGCTAGGCAAGCTCTCTGCCACTGAGCCACCTTCCCGGCCCAGATCACTCATTCTTTTTTTGGGGGGGTTCCAGTTGTGGGGCCTGAACTCTGGGCCTGGGCGCTGTCCCTCAGCTCTTCAGCTCAAGGCTAGCGCTCTACCACTTAAGCCACAGCGCCACTTCCGGCTTTTTTTTTCTTTTTGCTTATGTGGTGCTGAGGAATCAAACCCAGGGCCTCAGGCATGCCAGGCAAGTGCTCTACCACTGAGCCACCTTCCCAGCCCCCAGATCACTCATTCTTGACCACCTTCTTTTGCCCCAGTCCAGCAAATGGAAACGTAGGGCATTTGGTCAGATCTGACCCCAACGTCAGCTGAGTCTCTAGTGCAAGTTTGGTCTGGGCTTACCCAGCGGCCCTACACAGATCCCCCAAACAGGATGGTATCCATAGGCGGATTTCTAGAATAATCCTCTTCCACCTAGCTCCCACCCTTCATGCCAGGCTGGTAAGAGACTGGTCTTGTGTCTCTCCAGAGACCCTGCTCCTGCCCAGCCGCCTGCCCCTGCCGGAGGCCAAGGCAAAGCCACTGAGGTGAAAGCAAGAGGTCTGAGTATCTGGTAATGCTGCCTGTGTGTGAGCGCGTGCATGCCCATGCCCACGCGCGCGTGCGCACACACACACACGCCTGGCCTGCCCGCGCAGTGTCAGGTGGGCATGCTGGTGGCGGAGGGGGGTCAGGCCGGGCTGGGGGGGAACGGACGTCACGGCATGGCCCTGTGGTGCGGCCACCTGCTCAGCCCGGCTCCATCTGGGTGGCTTGAGGCAGGTCAGCGACCAAGCCCGCAGTGGCCACGCTCAGCCAAGACCCTCTTCTCCCCACGCCTTGCACACTGGGCTGGAGCTTCCTGCTCCATCTGGGCCGCCACCTGGGCCTCCCGCTGCTGCCCATCCCGCTTGCCTGCAAGGGTGCGTGGTGAGCTTTGGGTGTGTGCACACAGCGTGCAAGACTCCCGAGTAGCCCTGTTCTGTGCCCCTGTGCCCGAAGAACAGCGCCTGCCTGGCTGAGCCCACCGGGCTCAGGGTGTGCAGCCCGAGCCCCGTGCCGCGGGCACACGCACCTACCCGCCCCTGCTCACCGCAGACACTGCCGGGCACAGACACCACACGCTGCTGGCTGACGGAGCACACCCTCCACAGTCCTGCGTGTGCACAGACGCCACACACGCACACGCACAGGCACACACACACGCACAGGCACACACACGCACACGCACAGGCACACACATGCACACACACCGCACACACATGCACACACACCGCACAC